CGGGACCCAGGGGTCAATCTGAGAAGAGCTGCTGCATGAAGCCAAGACCCCACAGCTGTACTGTTCATTCAGATGAAGCTGAAGATCAGCAGCAGAAGAATCACATAAAGCAATTAAAAAAAATAAGAGCTTTCTAACTCAGTAAAACTAGGTTCAGCTCTTGCAGAAGCACAGCATTCAGTACATCTTGCTTTGCTAAAGGAAAAGCCAGCGAGTAGCTGTACAAAAAAACCCCTCCTTTAATGTCAAAAAATTATCTTTGGAAACTGTATTTAGAAAGATCTCAACTGGAATAACCTTAGAATAATTAACATGCAGCTGATAATTTGGCAAGCTGCTTTTAGAGAGTCAGATATGGGAAAAAGGCTTCCATCTGAGTCCCGAAGTCTGTTACAAAGCTACCAATGTCCTTCATGAGCTGACAGAAATGAGCTTAATTGCATAGTGCCTCAGCTACCTGCAAATATGGCCTTCCCTTTGGCCATCGCCACCTCTGTGGGCTTGGTGGTGCCCCACTTTTGGGAGTCCCACTGGGGAGTCTGCCCAGCAGATCAGCTCTTTGCGAGGGGGAGGCAGCCGGGCTGCTCGGGCTGCTGGACCCCCAGCTCATGTCACCCCCCGTTGCTTTCCTAATGCCACTCCGCTGACGGGCTGCTGACAGCGGACGTAACTGTGACAGCTCCCAAGGATTAAAAATTTATGGTGCTGATGGGCTTCCTGAATTGCCAAAGTATTCGTGCCGTGGCAGGCCGATGGGCAGGACCTCTGGGCTCCGTCTGCCTGGGCGGGGGCAGGCACAACAGAGGACTCTGTTTTTCCTTTAGCAAAGCTTTCACTGCGGCACTGAAACGACACGGTTTGCAGACGTAACCTGGAGCAACGACGGAACACAAGCGCTCATACAGTTGCACATAAGCGCTAAAGTCAGACAGAAGGGAGTTGCTTGAACAGGAAAGATTAAATACCTACCCTAGCCTTAAAATAGAAGCAGCGTAAGTGAGCTCAAATGATAGCAGGAGAGGCCTCAGAGACCGAAGGAGTCGCTCCTGTCTCTAGAACACTTGTCTCATTCTTGGTTACCATTCACGTCTTACAGTAATGGGGAGAGAGATTATGCTAATGGCGATCTTTAATGTCAGTGACTGATGTGACAGCAAAGTGACAAAAGATGCTGCATGGGAATGAGACAGCAGGCTCCTGGGGGCGGGGGGGCTCCCGCTGAACTCGGGACAGGGACCGGTCTGCTACAGTGCCCTCAGAGTTGGTAACCCCACCGTTGTCTACCTTGAGCAGGGCCCGTGCTGGTGAGCTGCTCCCTGCACGGGACGGGGCGAGCCTGGCACCTCCCGGGGTGCTGCAGCCCCTGGGGCTGGCATAGAAATAGAGCAAACCCCGCGAGCGCCCGCCTGGTAAAAGCTGAGCCCATTTCACAGGCAAGGGCGCCAGGAAGGGGCTCAGCGACGCCGCTTGGCACGCACGGTGCCCACGCCGG